TTCAATGATATTATTTTGATTTACAAGTAAGTACAATGGAAAATCAGAAAAATCTTTTGTGTTATAGTTATTTATTAAAAGTTTGACTTTGTCTGGTAGAAGACTACAGTATCAGGGCACTCATTGAGGATTGAACTATGTATCTGTTGTAGCATACCTATGGACGATAATGGGTATGTCCCCATTCACATAAATACAGTAGTAAATACTGTATGTTGATCTGCAGTTGAGGATTCAGTGTGGAATTCAATCAACCAACCAGAAAGCTTTCATAATCAGGATATGAGGCTATGAGCCAATGAGAAATGAGCAGCCTTTTCAAATCAGATCTATAGATGTGTATATAAACAGATGGAAAATCAATCAAAACCAGAGATGATAAATTAATTTTGTCCATTCTCTGGTGATGTGGTCATCATAACATACCCAGAAATGAAATATGACATTTGCCCGACGAGCTGATGACTTTACATGGCTAAACTGTTTCTTGTTATATTGCAAACAAACATACGTTGCTTCCTCACGTTGTCAAGTGGTGACAACTACATTTGGATACATACATATATATATTTACTTCCTCCTGGACTCACTCTGTTTCTATCTATCTCTCATATGCACCAGGATTTTATACTTGAACTCTTGAAACCTCAACTTTCAGTATCATTATATTGTTTATATAAAATCTTATTTTGCATTTATCAACACTGTTCATATTCTTTTAACTATTTTATACAAGGCCACTATACAACCAAACCAAACGTTGTCAAATGATAACCTACTAAGCCTCATAAGTAATAACCTCCTATCCTCCATATGGTCTCTAGATGAACTTAACCCTCATGAAGTTACCTTGGTTGTATAAATATCAAATTATATTTATGTAAATATGGTGTTTGAAATAAAGCTATTATCAATTAAGTAATGTGAAGTCTGTGTTGATATTGAAATGACACCACATGAGAAAGAATTATTATGTATGTATAATAGTTTCTAGAAAACTCTTTTTTTAAAACTAAAGACAAAATATACTGTAGAAAACAATTTTTTCTATCTTTTAATAAAAAAAATGCTTGAAATTTTTACCTGTACCTAATAGATATTTCATCAGCAAGCTGAGATCAAATTCCAGTGTAGTCTGTTACGTTCATTTTCATACAAATGTTCTTAGGAAGGGTATGAATCCCTTTCTTCTCCCTCCCCACCAGCTATGAGTTAAATAACAGGGTAGACTGGTCTCTCTATTCTTGAGTGGCAACCAATCTAGGAGGACAACTTTGAATTAAAAACTATGGAGAAAGCAATGGAAAATCACAGCACAATCTTTCCCAAGGAGTAATTGTAATTTACAGATAATAAAAAAAAAAAAAGGAAAAAAAGGAATCTGTGGAGAGGCATAATTACCTGCAAACTGAAGGAACATGGCATTTAAAAAAAGAAAAGAGAGATTTATATGAGCTGTGCAGCGTCCAAATAGCAATTAAAAAATGTCTTCATTTTTTTTTTCTCTTTGTTTCTTAACATGCTATATATGACTTGTTTCTTTTTATCATGGCTTTTTGCACTGCACTATGAATGTGCAGTTCAAGGTCCACACTCTACTTTTCTCTGCCCTTTAATCTAAATATATTTTTTAATTTGTGTAAATGTTGTTTGTTTGCCTGCGCTTAATGTTTAATCTTCGTTATGACAAACATGTTGAGCAGCTGGTCCTTATTGCATAACTCTTTGGTCAACAAAGCATTCATTTTAGGTTAACTTTAGCAAAGAACTGATCATAATAAATACTTTTTACTGATCTCTCTATTTTGTATATAACTGTCTTTACCATAGAACAGTGGTTAGTAAGCTTATCTCAAAGACTGTTACTGCTGGAATGAGTTCAGTACTCACTATAAATATCCAAGTTTTGAAAAAATAATCTTGAGATTTTTTTTTAACAGTTTTTTTTTTTCATTTTCTTTATCTCTATTTTTGATTTTGTTCTACATTTTACGCTTTTATTATCTATTCACTTTTCACGTATTTTTCTTTTCTTTTTTTTTTGTTGCTATTCACTTTTCTCTAGTTTTCAATTTTTTCTCTTTCCTTTTGATTTTTATAAAATCAATGTTTGATATCATTTACAATATCAAACTATTTTAGAACAAATATTTTATTAACATACACTCTTTTCTTCCAGTAATCTTTATTGAAAATAAGAATTCTGATATAATTCAGTGGTTTTGTAGTAATTCTAATTCCTAAATTAGGTTATCAATTTAGTCACTTTCTTCACTGACATGATATGGCTTCCTTCTATTTTTTCTACAAATATTTTCATGGCAGCTGTTCTGATGATATTTTTTCCCTAGTGCTTCAACTACATGAATTTAAGTGTGCTACTAGACTAGCAACTAGGTCTCACCGTTGGACTAATTAAATGCAACTGTCTCTTCTATTCTAACAGTTCCTTTCTAGTGACATTATTGCTTTGCTTGGGCTAAAATGATTTAAAAAAATGGCTGCAAGTATTTTGTTGTGTGTACAGTTATTGGCATAGTTATAAACTAAAGTTTTATAAATCCCTGTACATAAATAGCTTAGCCATAATATTTGTGACAGAGTAGGCCTAGACAATTGTTAGTTTAGGGAGGATAATCCTCACTGAGTACTCATATTCTGTTGTGCCATACTCAGATAAGCTCAGTTAATATCTATATAAAAGTCTGACTATGATATTGCTGTTTTCAGTATATTTAACTTGTTTTATTATATATCTAAAGTTTTATTTGAATTTTCTTTGGTTATTTTCAGCCAAAAATATTCTGTAAGATTAACTCGATAGAATGCAAATGGATTTTAGTCTGTAATTGATTCATAACATATATAGGAATACTTTCAGACAAAATGATATTGGGTGTGTGCAAAAGTTCCCAGAACTTTGTATTTTGAAGTCACTGTAAAAAATCAATTTTGAGTGTTCTGTAATCAGTCTTCATATATACCATATTGAAGAAAAGAAGGCAAATAGCATCAGACAAGATGCACATACAATTCTGCATGTTGTCTCTTTTTATTGAGCATGACAGCATCAGAATCAAAGGATTGATAGACCTTCTGAAAATGGTTTGTTTGGAAGCAGTATGTGTTGTCAATAGTTTGCAAATCTCAAGTACAGTGAATTTTGGAGTAGTGACATTTTTTTTAATCATTTCACCCCAAGCATCATGTCAATGCCACCAAGACACAAAGGTTTACTGGGAGCAAAAGAGAATGAGAAAACTTTAGGAGAAGGAACTGGAAACCCAATTCTAAACAAGGGATAAACCTCTACTCCTGTTCAAAAGACAGGGAAGGATTGTTAACCAGGTGATAGATGAACCTATCTGCTTCTTACCAGAATTTGAAAGTGATAACTTGCAATTTTCTTTTCATCATGACAGCCTGTCTCATCATTGGAATTGGCTGAACAATGTTGTATCATTCATTTAATAGCTGTAAGATGTTTGCAAAGAATAGGGAGGATTCTAAAAGTAGGGAAAGTAAATTTCACATGTGTTGTCAGGGTGAAGTGTTGAATGGAATTTCTCCATTTGTTTTTCAATTCTTGCCAGATATGAAACTTTTGTGTGTGTGTTCTCACTGGTGATGAGAAGTGCATTCACAGTGATAATCTAAAGTGTTAAAAGCCAAGACAACCTGCAGCATCAACAGCAAAACCTAACCTTTTTTTGAAAAAAGTTAGTGCTTTGAATTTGGTGCAATATAAAAGACTTATTATGAGTTGCTGAAGCCTAGTGAAACTTTTACTGCAGAACATTACAGTCAGCACTTTTAAAATTTAGATCCTGCAATTGAAGAAAAAAAAGCTGTTTACAATACAGGGATACCAGAAAATCATACTGCTGCAGGGCAATGCTTGTGTAAATGTTACTTTTTGACCCCCAAAATGTAATGGTAAAGGAGGTAGATAATATTATGTCATGTCAAATCGACTCAGATAGTGGGTGAATTATGGAAGAAAAGTTTAGTCTTCCATTTTCATTTCCCTCATTATGGGCATTATTATACCCATGATATAATAATATCATATTTCACAAATGAAACAGAATTGCTGGAAGAAAAGGAATGACAAACATACTTTGTTCTTAGACTTTGTTATACCACTAAGTCATAGACAAAATTATATATACATATACACATTTGTTTCATGCATAGAAAATATAACACATGTCTACACAGCAAGCACTGTGAAAAGAGAATGAAAAGATAGGGTTGTACATATAATATGAAGATTCTTCTGTGTTTCTGGAGATTCTTCTGATTTGAGCAGACTGGATTTAAGTGTTATGTCCCTAGTGAGGACATATTTTACAAACGGAGTCTTGGTTTTTCCCAACATGAGGATTACAAGTCTTCTTTCTATATCTGGGGAAGATATGTTCCCAAAAAGAAACATCACCATGGTCCTGTAAACTGCACCATGTAGTAGTTAGTGTGGGAAGGCAGATTTAGCCTCTATCTGCGTGAGGCCCTTGCCTCACCTGTGCTAAGAAAGCAACTGTTAAGTTTGGCTCCTGGATACTGACTAACTGTAGAGCTGACTGCCACTTTCATCACTATGTAGTGATGTCACTAAGTGTCCGTCACATGACCCATATGATTTCATCTTGACCAAAGGGAGATAATCACTTTTTGTATCCTTGCAATAGAATCAGGAAATTCTTTCTCATGTGGGATATTTACCAGATTTATCACTATTGAACCATAATTTCTTTCAATCAATGCAGCATTCCTTATCTAGTCAAAAATGAAAAAAAGATGTCTTTCATAGTCAGAATTTCATTCTCAACTTTTATAACATTGAAACCATAGATGTTTTATTAAGATGGAATTAAATTAAACTTTTGCAAATGCATAATAGATGCTCATTACATTTACATTACTTAATATTTATTAATGTTTCATGAATTAAATATTCTTTGTAAACTATATTTTTCTGACATTATTTTTCTTTGCAGGACTGAAGTTTTTAAACAAATGCTGGAATTATTTAAAAAGGTCGAAGGAGGAATTGAGAATGTCAGTCTTGGCTACAAATCCTTTGGTGTTCATGTTCAACCAGATAATGGCATTGAATGGCTTGAATGGGCCCCTGGAGCCAGAGGTGTTTACTTAAGAGGAGAATTCAGTAAGTAAAATCTACACAGCTGCACTATCGATTTGGCCTTTCAGTTTATACAATTGAATAACAAAAGCTTCCTTCTTGCTCACTTTTGTATATTAATTTTAAAAGCTAATTTCCATTAAGAGGGATAATGGAAGACATTTTCCAGTTTGGCTAACTAATCTCAGTACTGAAAATTTAAAATGAAAAACATAAAATATGGCTACATTTTCAGTTAATAATACTGTTGTGGCTAACCTGGTATGAGGGTATGGTAACAAAATCTGAAACATGAGGTTTAGTGATGGTGTCTAACATTTTGAAAGTATTTTACTACATGTGTAATAAAATACCAAAATTCTCCATGTATTTAAGTGTTGTTTGTCAATGAAAATAAAGGAAATAAATTTGAAAATTAAAAGAAATTAAAGAAAATTAAAAGATTCCCTTGATCCAAGATCTTGATCAAAATAATAAAATTTAAGTGGATACCAGGAAATTAGTACATTGTTAGTTTGTCAAAATATGATGTAAAACATCATTTGGTACCAATATTTTAGTTCCTGAGTACTTATTGAAATATAAGAACCAAACTGATACCACCCACCAACCATGGATCCATTACCTTATTTGGTATCCCCCGAGTATGAGCTTATTTGTTTAAATGGTTGTCATCCCAAGTACACTTACTGCATGATTCATCCCCATAATACAGACATATTGGACATGAGAAGACAACCAATTAAAAATACAATATTTTAGTACAGGTGTATGAGAATATTAGATTTCTAGACAGGGGATTAGAAAATTTTATAAAAAGTGTTATGATATTCATGATCTCTTGGACTTTGATAACAGCCTCCACCTGACTGACCATATATCTCTAGAGAAGTTTCTAGAGATATACTGCTAATATAAATGGACAATTTTGCATATAATTGGCAAATGTAAATGAATCTTTAATACAGTGTTTTTGTATACAAATTGGACATTGGTTATAATAAATTAGCCAACCGTTTTGCCAGTTTGTTTTATATAGACCCAATCATAGACAAAATGGGCCACACCAAGACATTGGGACTTAGGTAACCTACATAGCTGGAGCTACAAATAGCCAACCAGCCTAACAGCTTCATAGATATCAACTGAGAGTGCATTTAGTTTAACTAATTTGAGCAAATGTTTTTGAAAATTAAGCTCAATAAATTTAGTTTTATCAAAAGTCTCATCTGGCTTCAATTTGACAAACTTTGTCATTACATATTATCATCTTATTGATGTAATCATTATGATACAAAATAACCACCTCTGAACATTTATCAGGTTTTGTAATCACTATAGATCTATTAAGTGGAACATTTGATGGCTAACTGTTCACTCCAACATCAAGTGTAAAATCTATATATGTGGGCATAGGGGGCTCCAGATAGAGGTAGTACCTTTCATGTCTGGCACTTTGCACTTTTGGGTGGGTGGGCATCACTGGTTTTCAACCATCTCCTAAATCTCTCATGATGACTCCAAGTTGCCATGCCCTGGTAAACTGCCTCAGGGGGGAGGATAAACTCAAGTGAGGGGGTGGTGTTAACATGGCACCACTGAGTGAAAGACCTCTTTGATGCAAGTCACCATCCAGGGTGGAAGGGATCCTCAGATGAACTACAACAGCCATGTGTTTGTGATCAAGGCAAACCACCTAGTTTGAGGACATCGGCTGAGGTCTAATCTGGAAAGGGATGGGCTTCACCAGGTTAAAATGCCCAAAACACCCCCGCATATGAGCGCACCAAGAAACCATTTGCAGAGAACCAGGCTCTGGCACATGGATACGACAGATGGAGGAGAATGGTGGATAGCTCAGCATGTTGTCACCCCAATGACTCCTTCTGGGATTATGGGTGAAAGAAGAAGAAATATTTTATAGCACAAAACTGTTCAAGTTGCTACATGAATTCATTTCAAGCAACAGGAGTGCTAGTGAATACATGAGCAAGATCACTGATCCTTGCACTTAGTGCACTCACTTTGTTCATCAAAAGAGGAGAAAGTTTAATAAGTGGAACAAAGAAAACTTCAAACTCAGAAAAAATACTTTGCTGTTTAACTGAAACTGGTAGAATGCAAAACTTTGATCCATGTGATTAAACATGCAACTCAGTTGATAATTAGAAAGATTGAGGATGCATTAATTACTTAAATTTACTGCCAAATCTTTTAGAAATTAAGTCATAGGTATGACGATAAACTATATCTGGTAATAAGGCTTCAGATTGGAGGTTTTGGGGAGCATGGAACCACCTCTTAATTGCTGTTAGGGTTCCAGTATAGGCAAATAGTGACCCCCCAAAAAAAAAACTCTGAAAGTATAAAAATACATTTTAATATAAAAATTACCAACAATACCTATTTATAGTAAAATTACTGACAATACCTATTTATAGTAAGATTACAAACAATACCTATTTATAGCAAAATTACCAATAATACCTATTTATAGCAAAATTACCAATAATACATTTTATCTGTAGTTGAAGGCATTAAATAACCCACAGAGGTTGATATGCCACCAAACAAAATATCAACCAATCAACATTTTAGAAAGGACAGTCTCTTTTGGTGAATAGTTTGAGTAAGGATTAAACTATGCTTGTCCAATTTGTTTAAGTAGTTCATAAAATAAATATTTTCAAAATATGACAAAAAACCTCTTGCATATCTCAAAAAGGACCAAAGCTTACTTTTCAGTTTGATGATGGTGATCAACTTCAGGATGTTATCATTTACAAAATGTCACTCAATAGTTATACTGAAACTCAGATTTGATCTGGTAAATTGAGCAATGATATATTCTTCAAGCAGAGTCTTAAAAAGCTTGTATTTGAATAGGCAATACAAATTTTTCCCTTTAATTTCATCAGACAATTTATGCTCTGAATCTTGTTAGAAAATGCTTAAGTATGTTATTAGAGGTACCAAATTGAATCAATTACTTAGAGAGGGGATGGACACTACTAAGCTATCTGAAAGCCCAATGAAAGGATCATGAGGAAGAAGAATAAAAGTATGTTTCTTTTGCCCTCAGGTCCCCACTTAGGATTGAAACATTTGAGAGTTTGATGATAAAGATGGATATACCCACCCCCCCCAAAAAGAAAGTAAACGAAAAGAAGTTAGAAAGAAGAAAAGCAAAAAGTAAAGAAACTACAGCTACAATAAAATGACAATACAATAATAAAAAAAAAAAAATTAAAATTAGCTGACTGGTTTTCATTCCTTCTCATCAGAGCTCAATTGAGGAATTAAAATATTGAGCCCACCAACTAAAAAAGTAGTGGAGAAAAAAATAAGAAAAAGAAATACACAAATATTAATAATATATTGACACTGGTATACTTATAAAGAGTTCACATGGAGATCTAGCAACCATTCCTTTAGTTTAAACAAAGATGGCTGTCTCTATTTAATATAAATTGTCTCAAGAACTTTCATGTTATCTGCTCAACACTGAGAACATGTCCTTTGTAGTTTTTCTTTTTTTCTTTTCTAGTTCACTCTAGTCCTTTTTTTTATATGTCTGTCTTTTTAGAATTGATTAAATTTTACACCTCTAATAAAATTTTTCTTTTTTGTAGTTTATCATCCTTTTTGCAACAGAACAAATTGAGGAAATTAGTTTTTGCTTGTGTCTTGAATGAATCCCGCTTTTTCATAAATTACATATTTGAAAATAATTACACGTTTTGTCATGCTATGGAATGTGACACTTTTCTTTCAAACAGTATCCTAGGTAACAGTATTTCTTGATTAAGTTTAGCACTGGAATGATTGGTGTTATAAGGATGAGTATTAACTTGCACCATATTTGGTGAAAAACTTTCATATCAAGGACAAATAAAATTAATCTTTTCTTCCTTTTAATGAAGCCTTTAATATTAAGGACAACACCTGGTATCATTGCTTTATAATTTGATGCTTAAAAGAAATTAGCATTTAATATTTTCTTGAATTCATCTGTGAAATAAGAAGGGAAATAAGATTAGATATTACCATATACAAAGATTTTATATTTTTTTTTAAGAAGTTACTGGCTGCTGCTGGTTACATTGTGGATCTTGTTTACTTTGAGCAAGATTTTAAAAAGTCTGATCACAAATATATTCTTCCTATTGGTTGTGATTTTACTTACCATATTTTCTTGTCTAATAAAAGAAATTTTGAATAAAAATTAAAGGCAAAATATGGTGGGTTGGTTGTATTATACACAAGTAAACATTTTCAGAAATCTAATTCTTATTTGAAATAGCAAGATTGTAAATACACTCAGCACAAAAAAATTTGAAAATAAGTTTTGAAATGTAAATTAGAAGATATGCAATGGCTAAATATCCAGTTCATTTTTATTCTTTAATATTGTGAGAAATTAAATATTTTAGTTAAATATATGTACAATATTGAGATTTTAATGGATAATATAGTACAACTTTAAAAAAAAAATTACCTAGGGATGGCTGTAGTACAGGGCCATATTATACTCAAGTATGTAATTTATTCATAGTTTTTAGGTTCAGAAACATGAGTTTGCATTATACTCATGAAAATACTGTAAGTCTTCAATGGATTCCATTTTCGTTTTTAAGCAAGGTGTTGTAATCACTGTATATTGGTTCTTATGAAGTAATTATTCCTTTTCCCTGTTTTTTTTTTTATGAAATTGTTTTGACTTCTCTGCCCTCTGAACATCTTTAGGTATCTGTTTTATTTTGGAATGTCCTCATTGTAGGGGAGGGGGGGCATGTATTCCCCACAATCCCAAAACAAACATTTTAGTATATTTCTTTGTGATTACTTGCTTGCTGTGTTGAACTTGTGACCTTCTAGATAAATTTCTCCAGCATTCCTATATATTAGGTCATGAAAGAAATGAACATTAGGTAGAATTTTTTTGTTTTTTTTAAATCTCAAATTAGCTGTTTTTTTTTTGTCAGTGTCACCTATATGCTATTGATATTTATGCTTGGCCTACTAATTGAATGATTAGATATGTACTAATTTCTTATCCTCTATTGTTGTTCTATATCTGTTATCTTGATTTCATACCATAGAGGCTGGTGTGTTCTCCCTCTATATGATCAGCCATAATTGATTTTATAGTTTCTCCACAGATTGCAGTTTTATGATGTTCCTCAATCTGATTCCCTGCCACAAATGCAAATGATGTTATACACATAATTTTTAGTCATACTTTCTTCCAATCTGTTCATGTCAGGTCAATTTATAAGTGTTATTGGTTCCATGTAACCAAGTACTGTCTGCCATGTGGTCAAGTCATTGGCAGCTAAACCAGTTCCCCTACCAAGCTTTTCTGGCAAAGAAGGTGGCTAGAAACACAGTAAGATTAAAAACAAGATCAGTCAAAGGATGGATGAAACTTTTTGTAGGATCAATAGTCATCTAGCACAATGGTGTAAACTGGGCTCTATAGTTATGTATTCAGCTAGTATGGTTACATGCCATTGCTGGGTAAAAGACTCCCTAGACTAAAGTCACTGGCTAGATTTGAGGGTTCACCTGATCGAATCAATGGACATGTGTTTGTGACCTAGCAAGCCTTCAACTTGAGGGACATTGGATGTGGAGAGAGATGGGCACTACCAGTTCTTCTTGCCCATGACACACTATATATTGAATGATTATATCTCCACCTTTCAATCTAAATATGTGGAGAAAACTGGTCAGATGCTCATTTGTGCAGCAACCCTACAACGCCATCCAATTATGGGACTGATGATGATTCTTCTAGTGGAAGTTTTTGAGATTATCAGGATGACTCTAGTAAAGTTGACACATTCGATAAAATCTTATGCTTCTTTTATTTATCTGTTTGCTGTTTAAACTTTAAGCTAAATCTGTAGCTGGCTGATGTTTAAATGTTGATTAATTCTATTACTTTTAATAGATAAAATTTTAAATTTATTGGTTGAACTTTCTAATAGAATATAAGCTGAAAAACATGTTCTTAAAAGAATCAAAATTCTAATAAGATTCAGATTAGAAAAGCTGTTTTTCTTTTTTTTAAATTTAAGAATAATTCTTTACTTGTCAGATAACTGGGAAAAGCAGCAATATCGTTTTCAAAAACTGGATTTTGGTCGTTGGAAGTTGACTCTACCCCCTACAAATGATGGAGAATGTCCAATTAGACACAATAGCCTCATGAAGGTAAATTTGAATTAAATATTTATTAAGAGCTACCTTTTTACAGCTTCTTATTCTTTTTTAATATGTATTCTTTCTTTTAATATTTTTTTATATTTTAATAGCCATTCCATTCTACTTATCCTAATCACTTTAGATCATCATCTTCATAATGATAATCAGTTTATCTGCTATAATCTGTCAGATTTTCACACTTGAACACTTTGTAAAATTACACATTATTAAAAGATAACTGATAAATAAAATATCTTTGCATTTGAACAGGTACTTGTTCATTTGACCCTTTTTATAAAATCTGCACTTGTAAATTAGGTTGAGTCATAAATAATTCCTATTTTTGCTAACCAATTGTTCTAATGACAAATGCATAATCCTACCGACTAATCATATGTGGCAGTTAAGAATAATTTTGGAGTACACTAACATGCCTTAGTTTTTGCATGGTAGCAATAGTGTACGCAATAGATTAATAAATTTCTTAATCTTACTGATAGAAGGGAATAATGCTATAGAGACATCTAGAAAAATATGTAATATTTCTGGTCAAGAAGCCATAACTGACTGGCAGATATAAAATTGATTTGTAAAGTTTACTTTTGGAGAAACATCATTTGAAGATGAACCCATACCTGGAATTTCATCAGACTTTGATGATGAATCTCTAAAGAGATTAGAGGCAATGTACTTGGGAATTAGCATAAATGTTAAAAACATCACAATCTACCACATGCTGACATTTAGTAAACATAATCTGCAAGTTGGGTGTTTAGATTCCACATGCTCTTAATAAAAAGAACAAATTGGGCTTTTGATAAACAGAAGTGGAAATTATTCATGACTTGACTCAAATGGTTGCATATTATGCAAAATATTTGATTACTTTTCCTGTAATTTTTGAGATTTTATCACCTTGTGAATAAATAAATTCTAAATAGGAGTTTATCTCTATAAATAAAGTCTAAATTTTGTCTTTCAATTTATGTAATTTTCAATTGCAGCTTTATCATTTGCTGTGCTTCTGGTTAAAACTTCTGCTATGAAGGTAGATGACTGCACAATGCCAGTAATTGCCCTGCACAATCCCTATTCAACTTGTGCACTATTGTACATAGAAATAATCTATTTAATCATAATTATCTAATATTACATGTGTTACTGGGATAGACAGATCTTGTGATCTCTTGTCTCCAACATTTTATTATTGTGAAGGACATAGAAGATAACAAGGTTAAATACAAGATTAGAAGACTAAAAATACTCATGAAAGGTAGATACAGACACAGGTCAGAATATATTCCAATGACTGATTTGGAAAAAAAAAAAGAAGAGCAACTGGGCATATAGAATGCCTGGGAAATTTTAATACTCCTGCTTAGCACATTACTAAGTATTTTGGGGGTAATATGTGTCGCTAAACAACATCATCTCGGATGCAGGAGAGTTGGAAAGAAAAACCTTGAATTAAAACAAAATTGATATTTAGTTAAAGATTGAGAATTGATTTGGAACCAGATTGAGCACTAAATTACCATGACATAAGTCAGTGAACCATAAAAACAACATTTATTCCCAATTTTAAAATTACTAATTCTGACTTCTCTTTATCATAATTTTCTTGGTTGAATATCCTCTGACTATTAGCACTTTCACTGTTAATGAATGTACTTATATATATATATATATATATATATATATATATATATATATATATTTTATGTATTTGGGCAATAATCTGTGTTTTATACTGGTTTCATTGAAGATGACTGACAAGGTACTGTGATTAAGCTTTTTCTTATGTTTTTCTTGCATGCTTACAAGAGATTTCTTTTTGGGAAATAGTATGTGTAAGAACTGTCCAAATGATCTTTGTATCTGGATACTTTCTGCTAATCTATTAGACATTATCAAGGATGTTTTTTTTGTTTGTCTGAATATGTAGATTTTTTTATAGCAAGAGAAATGATTTAATTCTCAAACACAGTCAGCACATTGTGGCCATGTTCATAATTAATATTATTAAAAGTTGGTTTCCTTTTTATTATTAATGAAAAAAACAAAAGCAACTCTTAACATTATTAATCACAGTACCTTGTCTGTAATCTTCAATGAAACCTGCATATATGTTTGTGTGTAAAAATTCACCTTCCTTGCTGTTGGGAGCCGATAGCTCAGGGGAAAAATCTCTGGCTGATGCCAAATTGGTTGGACTTTGATCCTGGCTTGAGGTAATTGGATGTCTAGCCACACTGATGAGCTGTGAAACAGTCTGTCTGTGGATGACACACACACACACACACACACACACACACACACACACACACACACACACACACACACACACACATATTTAATGTGTGTGTGTGTGTGTGTGTGTTTTCAAGAAACCATAAAAGGTCAGTTCAAACCAGCATAGGCACCTATCAGAAATTGTTATCAGAATCTTTATCGTCATTTATTTCCAATAAATGGCAATTTGCTATTTTTCATAAGACGGGCCAGAACAACGAGGCAACAATGCTATAATAATGCAGGAGTGAAAGTATTAAAGCAACTGCTTGTGTAGGTGGTCTAATAGTTAGCAACATGGAATATGGAATCACCTAGCGAAATTAAGATTCCAGCTGTGATAGTTTATGTTCATTTTATGCTACTATGCTTATGAAAAGCATAAATCCATCTCATCTCTCCCCAGCTATAGATAAAATAGCAAGGTAGACTGGGTTCTCTAGCCTTATTTTGCAACCAGCTTAAAAAAAAGGCCAACTTAAACCAGTTGAGCATAGGACTAGTAATTATACCTCACATTAGAACTGTAGCAGTTATCACCTTGCATTATCGCCCTATAAGGAGTTTACACATTTCAAGAAGATTAAATCAAATATATACTATTTGATTTAATCTTCTTGAAATGTGTACACTCCTTATAGAGTGATAAAAGTAAGAACAAAGTAACCTTTGACAAGACATAAATTTGCTTCTCACAATCTGGAATTCTGTTCTATGACTAGATCTGCCATATTGTTATCTCTTTACTTCAAATCTTAACATTATTTTGTTTGTTTTTACTGCCTTGCAATAGTTTTAAATTATTTTGAACTCTAGAATGAAACGTGTCAGATTCTGTAAATATAACAATAAAAGTATTTCACTTCAGAATCCAAAAGTAACTGAGTATAGCAAAAGGCTATATTTACCTTTCTGTTCTTAGCAAATTTTTATACAGCCTTGTCAACAATTTCATTAATAATTGATATAAATCTGAGTTGTTCTACATTCACTTAAGACTTGTATGCAAGTAGTTTATGATATCAAAAAGTGTTTGTTCTTCTAAATCAAATTAATAAGTTTTTATCTGAAATTTTTTGATTTATTTTCATTATTGGGACTCATATTGGAATATTAGTCTGAACGACTTATAGAAAGATGATAAATCCTTGCTGATAAGGTCCAGTTTGAAGAGAGTAAAATCAGAAGTCTTATTTAATATTTTTATTATTTGTTTGCAATATACTGTCAATTATTTTCTATAGTTTTTTTTCTTAAAAGTTCATATTGAATGTAGTTGTTTTAAGATTTCAGATACACTTGTTCCACATGTGTGTTGTGTAATGTCATTTGCTTTGATCTTTCTATTGTAACCATCCATTTTTCTGAGAATAGCTTTCTTGCTTTTGTCACCAAAGTGTAGTGGCCTCTGCTTCAAATGGCAGCTGCACAGTATTGTTTAAAAGCAAGATGTAACTGAAAAAAAAGATTTTTCATTGCTAGTTTTAAAAATGATTTTCCTTTACTGATTTTTCTCCTGAAATAAAAAATGTTTCAAATACAATAACACAAAATATTTTGCATCAGTCTTTATTCATAAGTATAAAAATTCACTTAAGCTTTGATTTTATAAAAAATCAGTTTTTGGAGTCAACAGAATTTTATATACAGTAATAATTATGAATTATTATTCAAATTCTTTCTTTCTTTCTTTTTTCTCATTACAGTTGGTTATTGAGACACCAAGTGGTGAATTGGTTGACCGTCTCTCCCCTTGGGCTACATATGTTGTCTGTACAAATGTGCCTGTATTTGACCATTGTTTTTGGAATCCTCCAGAATCAGAAGTGGGCGCTCATTTTTTTTTATTCCTGTTTTTTTTTTTTTTACTTTTTCTTGTAACTTGATTTCTTTTGCCTATAATTTTCATTCATCCATTGTCAGTGGACACCAAATTATAATTGAATATGTTATGTTTGCAAGATGTGTTGATTACAATTCATGGTCATATGATTTACTGTTTTTACTGATTTAAAATCTTTACAAGTATGGACTTTATTGTTACTACTATTTCTCTTGTAGAGATATCAGTTCAAACATCCTCGCCCACCAAAACCCACTCGCCTTCGGATTTATGAAACTCATGTTGGAATCTCATCGTGGGAAGGCAAAGTGGCGAGTTACAAATGGTTTACTCATCAAGTGATACCCAGAATTGCTAAACTTGGTTTGTAGCATTACTTTGTTTGGATTTTGTTTTTTTTTTGTCCAGTCTTTATAAAACAATTTTTTAAAATTATTTTTATATGCAATTATACACAAATTTGATTAAATTTTAAGCAAATCCACTACTGATGCAGTGTGACTTAAGCAAATCAAAACATAAAAAAGGAAAATATAAATTTAACTAAAACAGTAGTGAATTCATTATTCAAGAATTCTACCAATTCTTCTAGTTTAATTACACTAAATTCTTAGTTGAAAATTAAGCAACCCAAATACTGGTAAAAATTCTAAGTTGCTTGTAAAAAAAAAAAAAAACTAGTGATTTACTTGGACTAGTATCTTCATCTTGGTTATTACAGTCCCAGTGTTACTGTTGTTGTGCCCTCCATCCTTCTTCAGGTGTGTGTTGTAGATGGTAATCTTCTGGGAATTTTGAATTTAAACCTTTCATTAAATTTAAGTGGGTAGATTGTTCTCATTCCTTTATCCATGCTTGAGTAAATCTCATATAATCTAATTTTTCTCAGTGAATTTGTGCTTGTTTCCATACTATATGACTTCTTGCACTGCTGAATTAAGGGATGACTGATACAAGAATTCCTTGCATGGGCAGCAGAATGAAAACACTCTATTCATGTGGTTAGAATAAAGGGTTTTGTTCAAAATTCTTGAAATCTTACAAGCTAGAAGTGACACCTGAAAAAGTTCAGAGTGTACAATTACTGAAAGGTCGTGACAGTAAAAAAAATAAAATAAAATTAAAAAATTATGCGGAAACTAGTCTGATTAATCTGGTGTATAATAAGGATAATTTCTTATCAAAATTATCCAATTTCCTTTCTCTAAATCAGAATCATAAATTTTGTTTACTTTACTTGAGTTAAAAATGTTCAATTCCTGCTTATAAATCTTCATTTTTTTTTTTCATGATCAGCATCATCTGATAGCCTTAAAAATCATTATTTATGATATAGATAAATTAGTGTCTGTGTTTGTTATTGTAATATTTAGGGAAATTTTATAATTTTATTGTTTGAATGAATCATGAGCCCCCTAATTTTAATTATTGTTTTTCTCAGTGTCTAAATTTTATCATAACTTTTCTGTATTCTGGAGGAAAGTGAACCTGGAAGACCTGATTGTTAATCAATATTTTATTTACAAAGAAGATATTGTTGGTTTAATTTTAATATTTCAATGTTAATCATATTACACATCATAATGTTCATAAGTATTGATATCTATATTAAAGGAGTCAATTTAATTTATTTTTTTGTTACAATAATGTTCACCCTGTACAAGGCCCAAGAGCCACTCAAGTGTTACAGAGTAAGAGGCACAGTTTATGTGGATATATAGGGAAGATAACTGTTAACTATAGAAATGATTTTAAAATTATCTGATTTTAATGTTTTCTATTCATAATTTAATTAAATTTTAAGTTATAGGAAATATCTTTATTGTTAAATGAAGCATTGTTGACCATTATTCATTTTTAATTTTTTTTCTTTTTTAATTTATTTTTACCGTAATTTATTCAGCCCCATCCACTTGTGGCAGTGGACAAATAAAATGGATTGGAAATAAAGGGTAAATTCTCAGTGAGAGTCAAATGTGTGTTCTCTTCAAACCTCATTGGGTACTTTATTATTTTTGACCTGCACACTTCCACAGATTGATGAACTGTGTACATTTTGATAAAAACCAACCAAAAATTATGATGAAACAAAATTGCTGGTCAAATTAAAAAATGAATAATGGTTTTGGGGATAGCTAAAAGCTGTTGTTGTTATTATTATTATTATTATTATTATTATTATTTGTTCTTATCTCTTATCAAGAAATAAAATATTCTTATTACAATTGATTATTTCTTTATGATGCTGAATATCTCTTCTGTTTATTCTGCAGAGAAGCCTTATCTGCTTTTCTTCCTTTCTCAACCATTAAACATCAAGGTATGCATACTATTGCATTCTGTACCTCATCTATATAAGCAAACTATTTTGAACTTCTTAAGGATGTTTGCCCAAATAAATTCTCAAATGTCTTAAAAATAAGGGCTGCTTCAATGTTATGTTTCTTGTTTTTGTATCTTGTTTTATATATATTTTTAAATCTCATTTCTTAAAAGTGACAATATATTTATTTTGCCAGGCTACAATTCTATTCAACTAATGGCTATCATGGAGCATGCTTACTATGCTTCTTTTGGTTATCAGGTAACCAGTTTTTATGCTGCTTCCAGGTAGGTACAAATAATATTTGTCATTAAACATAATGCTACCATCATGGATCTTACTTTCTGTATTCTTATTTTTTATGTGCCATGGCCTTTCGGTATGTAGGTGATCATGGCTCTCCATCTCCCTCTATTTCTTGCAGCTCTCAACAAGTTCCTTCCTTCTGATTCCTCTCCCAGACCACGTTCTGTCATCCACTTGCTTAAGCTCTCCAGGTATGTCACACATTGTTTTCCCTTGTCTCTCTTTCCCTCTATTCGACCCATGAGTATCAGATTCTCCAGACCCTCTTTCCTCATTATGTGTCCAAGAAACTTCAGCTACTTCTTCCTGATGTTAAGTATAAGCCTTCTTGTTTGCAACCTCTCTAAAATCTCATCGTTGCTCACATGCTTGGTCCATGATATCCTTAGCATCCTTCTGTAGAACCACATCACCTCGAGTCTCTTCTTCATCTTTGAGGAAATCGTCCAACATTTGCTGCTGTAAAGAAGGACAGATATCACGTAACAGCTCAGTATTCTTTTCTTTGTTACCAAAGAAATCCTTCTACCTTGCAATATTCTGTCCAGCTTTTGGAATGTGTCCTTGGTCATCCCAATATGTCTATGGATCTCAGTGTCACACTTACCGTCCTCTATCAAAACACTTCCCAGATATTTGCTTAAGCCTGCCAATTATGTCACACGTTGTTTTCCCTAGTCTCTCTTTCCGCATCTGCTTGATTCTAGTATTCCTGACCCACAAATCGCATTTCATGCTCATCCTCTTACTGATGACCATGTCTTCTACTTTCTATATTACCTTACTTTAATTAAAGTATATGAAAGAAGTTAAATCATCTCATCTATTGATCCATAAATGGTGGCAATCATGAATTGATGTTTCATTGAAGATATCTCCAAATGATGATTTAAACATTTCCCAACAATATTGGCAACTAAGTTTACATCATTTCCTAGAATGTTTGCCTGCAAATAAAGGTGGAAGAACAAGCCAAAGACAGTGCTATGTCTGCTTTCATAGTTCTTGATTTATGAAGTTACTATTAGGTTGGACAGAAAGTCCTGACTCACTTAGGAAGCAGAAAGAAAACAACAAATCTTGGACTCTGTCTGGGGGAATTTCCAAAGAGTACTGCATTTTGAGTTTGTTCCAGATGTTCATGCCATCAACGCTAAACTGCATTGCCGGCAACTAGACTGTATGACAAACTAAAGGAGGAATATCCGGCTATGGTCAATCGAGGTTGGGCTTTGTTTCAGCAAGACATTGTGAAGCCACACATTGCCAGGTTGACTAAGGAGAAGTTCAAACAGATGGATGGTATTGAGATTCTTCTACATCCACCATTCAATCCTGATGATGATTTGAGTGACTAGTGCCTATTCTGCTCAATAGCACACTTCCTTCATAACCAGAAATTCAACATTTTTGATGAAGTGAAGGAAGCTTCTTTACAGTTTTTTTTTTTTTATTCAAAGCCAGCAGACTGGTATCTGGGACAGATTTGAATGCTGGCAGAAGATTAAGAATGATGGGCTTTATTTTGGAGAATAAATGTTGGTGTTACTCCATAAAATTTTGTTTTCTTTCTGCTTCAAGACTTTTTGGCCAACTTATATTTACTAGGATGCATGCAGTAATGTAATCATCTGGAGTGTTTGCCTGCAAAGAAAGCTGGAAGAACATGGAATGCTTCAAGGAGTATCTTACTGTTTGTAGTAAGAAAATGAATGCAGGTGTAACTTAATTGAAGCATTATTCAACTTAGAATGGAGTGTGTCCTACTGCACTTAAATGCCCAATACATATAAGGGGAGATAATCCATTCCACACAATTAAAAGATATTAAATTTAGAAATGTCTAAGGCAAGGATGTATCTTCTCACCCAACCTGTTTAATCTATACAGCAAGGTAATTCTGCAGGAATTGAAAATCCTATCGGGATTTAGCATTGGCGGCCACAATCTTAACGACATAAGATACCCAGATGATACAGTACTGATAGCAGACGCGGAGAAGAAATTACAAAATCTACTACAAGGTAGTGAAGGAGAGTGAGAAGAAAGGACTAAGCATAAACTACAAGAAGACAGAATGCATAGTCATCAGTAAAAGGATGAGCCTGAAATGTGATTTACAGGTCAGGAACACTAGAATCAAGCAGACGGAAGTTTAAATATCTGAGAAGCATTTTAACAGAGGATGGTAAGTTTGACACTGAGATCCGTAGATGCCTTAGGATGGCCAAGAATGTATTCCAGAAGCTGAGCAGAATATCGTGAGACAGTAGGATTTCTTTGGGAACAAAGAATCCTGAGCTGTTATGTGATATCTGTCCTTCTTTACAGCAATGAATGTTGGATGATTTCCTCAAATATGAAGAAGAGACTCAAGGCGACAGAGATGTGGTTTTAAAGAAGGATGCTAAAAATATCATGAACCGAGCGTGTGAGCAACGATGAGGTCTTAGAGAGAATGCAAACAAGGAGGAGACTTATACTTAGGAAGAGGCAGCTGAAGTTTCTGGGACACATAATAAAGAAGGAGAGTCTGGATAATCTGATACTCACGGGTCAAATAGAGGGAAAGAGAGACAAGGGAAAACAATGCATGATATACCTAGCAGGCTTAAGCAAGTGGATGACAGAATGTAGTCTGGGGGAGGTGGCAGAGAGAAGGAACTTGTTGAGAGCTTCAAGGGATAGAAGAAGGTGGAGAGCCATGATCACCTATGTTCTGAAAGGACATGGCACATAAAAATAAAGAAAGAACATTTCTTTTATTTCCCCCTTTTTTTTTCTATACTTTTATAATATAATCTGAAAAGGGTAAAATATTTTTGTAGATTTTGTATATAATTAGAGTAAAAATAATTATAAAAATTACACGTTTAAAAATATAAATTTTCTCTTTTTTTTTTTTTTGTTGATGTGCACATTTCCACAAGTATTAATACCTAAAGACTGTTCTTAATGGAAAAATATGTCTGTATTTTTAGGTTCTTTTCTTTCATTTGATGTCTTTGTTTCTGCTTTTATTTATTTATTATCAGTCGATATGGAAATCCTGAAGAACTAAAAGAATTGGTAGATGTTGCCCATTCATATGGAATCATAGTTCTGCTGGATATTGTTCACAGTCATGCATCTCAGAACACTGTTGATGGACTCAATCAATTTGATGGAACCACCTCTTGCTATTTTCATGATGGTGGACGTGGCACACATGATTTATGGAATTCCCGACTTTTCAATTACACAGAGTGAGTTAATAGGAATTTCCTTAAGCAGTTATTTTCGCTTTTTTTTTTTTTTTTGATTCAAAATATTTGGAAAGTCAAAAAAATCCAAAATTAAGTTGTCACTTGTGTCATTTACATTATTTTGATACATGTAAAAATTTATTGCCTGCATCAGAATAGACACTAATGCTGACAATTCTACTTTTGATTTATGAAAAAATAAACAAAAACAACTTTGCTTTATTTCTATGGTATTACATATTCCTATGCTAATTACTATTACACATTCCATTGTAAATTGCTGTTACTACAAGTACTCATTTTGAAAGTATTTAGCAGACACTTTTTTATGACCAGTAGTAGATGGTTTTGCCTATCATCCAGTTCACACTCCTTTCCCATCTTTTGAACAGGAGTAGAGGATTTATTCATTGTTTCCTGTTTAGGATTGCGTTTCTGATTACCTCTCTTAAATTCTTCTCATTTTCTTTCACTCTCAGTAACACCCTGCGTCTTAGTGACATTATTGCCTTGCTTGGGGTGAAATCATTAAAAAGAAGACCAATTTTCTATCTACTCAATCTAAACCACAAAATTTTTCCTGGAAATGACATATTCACACAACCTGTCCATTTCTCTGTTTCTTTTCAAAGAAAGAGTGTCTTTAAATAACATAAGTAAATAAATATCTTTAAATAACATAAGTATCCAACTTTCTTATCTTGGCCAATTTGTTCTTTGAACTGTTTTTATTTATTTTTATTGTTCTACACATTGCATGTTGACATTCCCATCTCATTGTAGTATTTTCTATGCTTTATACAAAACCTTTGAATTTTAGTTTAATACTGAGGAAGCCTCAATAATAAATAAATTTATAAAATTAAATAGTTTTTCTCTTTTGGTGACATATTTCGATATTTAATTTTTTTTTATTAAAACCACTAAAAACTTTGACAAGTAGAAGAATGAAGAAATGATCCCTTATTGACTCTGTAACAATAGATATTGACTTTTTTTCCTTTTTACACATTCATGTAAAAAAATATTAAAACCAAGTGGAACATTACCAGCAAATATCTATGGCCAGTTTCTCATTTAAAATGAAGAATTTCTTTCTTCACTTTACTATCATAGCAATTGGCACCATATTGTGCTACATTGAAGATACTCAGTATCATGAACAGGTTGTTGCTGTTTATAAAAATAGACAATATTTTTCTCTTCTGTAGAAATTGTATCTCTGAATGAATAACAACATAATTTCCAATTGTAACTACTAAATATACTACTGTTCCATAATATTATACATGTGTATTCATGTCATAAGATAAAAACTTGGTTAAATGGTATTGACAAAAATTAGAAAAGTTAATGTAAATGAATCTTACATTCTTCATCTTCCCACATTGATTTAATAAATTTAATTAAAAGTTATTTTAGTGAAAAAAAATTCTTTTTTAAAATTAATTTTTTTTTTATTTTGTCTTTTTTCCATTTAACTACAGATTTGAAGTGTTGCGATTTCTTCTGTCCAACCTACGATGGTGGATTGAAGAATACCATTTTGATGGGTATCGTTTTGATGGTATTACTTCAATGATCTACCATTCACATGGAATGGGTTAGTGCTTTTTATTTCTTTTTATTCAATGACTTTTTTAAAAAAATGAATAATTCCCAGCCATAATTATTATCCTTCTTGTTCTAAAAGGATCAGTATATTGATCCTGGTTTGTTAAGAATCTTCACTATTATACATTTCACTGATGTTTCATAGAGCTTAATTATTGGCTGAGGAGTCATGCAAGACATTTTTGTTATCTCTAAATTTGCATTGGTGCAAACAGATGTTTTTGCCCAACACAAGAATTCATGGAACAAATTTCAGCTTTCTATTGCAAAAAAGGAATGAATGGTTATGTTGCATTGATTTCTACATAAATCTTGTCATTCTAGATGAGATTTTAAGTATGTAGAGGTGCTGGAAAGTTCTTATCCTGTTCCACTTTTCAAAATCTGACCAAATATCAGATTATAATTTTTTTTTAATTCTTTCTTTGTCAGGCCCAAGAATTTTTTGACTTCTCACACAGATTCTTGTTCCCTTTTAAACATCAAAGATTTTTCAATTTAAATTCTTTAACGTCTATCCTTCTGCAAATGGCTTGGGTTGTTTGTATAAAAATAGTGCTATTTAATTATTTGAGTTGTATATTCAGCTGTTTGTTACCTATTGCAAAACAGGTAAGAATAACATTTACCTATTTATTTGTTACCTATTGCAAAATAGGTAAGAATAACATTTACCTATTTATTTGTTACCTATTGCAAAATAGGTAAGAATAACATTTACCTATTTATTTGCTACCTATTGCAAAATAGGTAAGAATAACATTTACCTATTTATTTGTTACCTATTGCAAAATAGGTAAGAATAACATTTACCTATTTATTTGTTACCTATTGCAAAATAGGTAACAATAACATTTACCTATTTATTTGTTACCTATTGCAAAATAGGTAACAATAACATTTGCTTTAAAGCGTACCCTCACCTCATGGAAATGCCAAGTGCATTTTACATTTCTTTGAACAAAAATCAGTAATTGGCACTGGGTAATAAAATAAGCGCATCCCATCTTCCCTCTCGCTTGTAACCATCCACTATAATAAAATAAACATTTTTAGTGCAGAAGCTGAATTAGTCAAATAAAGCTTCATAAGCTTCTACTTAGAGTTGTTGCTATATTACAGGCACCAATATGATATTCAAAAAATTCTCTTTATCATCAGATTCCACTTCTACCGTTTATATTTTTTTAATCACATTACCCCAAGTAAGGCAATAAAGCCCTGAGATGCAACTAGTTACTGAGTGTGAAAGAATGAGAAAAAGGAAACATTATTAAGGAAAAAGAACAATAAAAGAACAGGAATTAAGAAGACAGAAGAAAATGGTTGACACTGCATTTAAATTTTTGAAGATCAAAGTTGACTGAAAAATAAGAACCTGGAAGAGTTCCATAAGCAAGAAGTGCAACAGAAAAACTGCTAGCATAGAACTTACAGTTACATCTAGAAATTTCAACTGTAAAATGATGAGACCTTGCTGCCACTCTAGTAGTATGTTTAAATTCGTAACATTTAGGTACCAAAAAGGAAAGCGATATTTATTCTGTTTAATACAGAAATGTGGCACAAGGCCGAAAAGGGGATTGGGGAAAGGACGGTCTTCTTCTGTCTTAACTATAACTTAGCTAGCCAAAAAACACTGACCCAAACGTACGAAACAATATTCCTTACACCAAAACAACACATTCATTCGTACCTTTCTTACTACAACCACCATAATACCTCTTTGTCTCTATGAAAATACTAACTAGTCCCCATATTTACAATTCGTGGTCTGTGGGGAGGGAATAAAACAACAATTCTAAAAATGAACCCCAATGAGTATTTACAATATGCATACAAAAAATATTTACAAGAAACTAAAGAAAATAAGATTAGTAATAAAAAACCCCACAATTTCCTAAATGTGACAGAAACATCACTTCACTGGCCAAAATCAATGCAGGACTATAATAGTATAAACCATTCATTCATCCCAATCACTCACACTGTCATGCACTCATTCAGACACAACAACAAATACGAAAAAAAAAAAACACTCACACGAAAACGAAAAGGCGCCGCATCCACCAGCGAACTGACATCACTGACCACCCAACGAGGGAGGGATGGGAATTAAACAAAAGAAAAAAACAAATGGGGACAGAAATAAAGGGGGCCAATGAGCATACATACCCTAGCTAAGTTAACTGAAAAAGGAAAACTAAATCATCAAAAAGGAAAAAACCTAAACTAGCCTAGTTTCAGGATGGGTTGCACAAGTTCAACCCAGGAAGAGCAATATCCTGATGCCTAACCGGCATCAATGTGCCACTCAAAGTCAGCTCCTTTCACACGACACAAACGCGCAAGATTCACCCACCTTTTGCTGAATTCTGATGAAGTGAGCCTTTCCGTCCCTAATCTTGACTTTAAGCTGATGCTTAAAGTACAAGATCAGTTGGGAAGAGGTGAACTTCTCGCCTCCATAGAATCCTTCTGACGTGTCGTCCAAACCACGACTCTCATAACACCTAGCAAGCAGTGGAACACATACTGTTCAGCCTTCGTCAGCGGCGGTGCCACATTGCTACAAACGGAAACGGACTGAAGGACAAAGGACTTTCCCTGCAGCATGCGGACCATGAGGCCTTCAACAAACTTGACCAACGGCACTACCTGGCTGCAATGAAAGAAGGCGTGACCCAAGGTCTCGACCTCCCCACTACAACGTCGGCAGTTTGGAGAATTCTCCAAGCCAGCTGAGCAGAGTCTCTTGGCGACCCAGAGGGCCCTACGTATCACCAGCCAGGTGAGTGATGCCTCATCGTTATTGAGGCATTTCAACCCGGGCGCCCAAGGCCATATTGAGCGAGCCTGCTGCCTCGTCAAACCAGGCTCGTCAATCAGATCATCATGCACGGCCCCCTGACTAAAACTTGATATAATGCCCTACGAGACAACGCCTGGACGTTGGAGAGGCCATCCGACGCCCGTAAGAGGCGCTTCAGAGCAAATACGACATTCACGATAGAAGGAGCATTCGGCTCGGGGTAAACGGCGGGCCTCCTCCTCACACGAATGCACACTTCTCAGGGATGGGAAGTTCTTACAGGCGTCTTCCTTCCAGAAGGCGCCCTCCTCATCCGAATCGCGACACATTCGATCCAGAAAACTAATGCGAAGCATATGTTGACGAATCTCAATGCTCAGCATGCCCAGACCGCCTTCAGATGGATGAAGGCAACAGATCTCCCGACGACTCTGGCAGCCTTGCCTCCCCACAAGAAGGAGAACAAGAGCCTCACTAACGCCAGTAAAGTGTCACACGGAAGTGGAAGCACAGAGAGTCGGTAAAGAGAATCGGGTAGATGTGTGAAACACAAACTTCCGCCCTCCCCCTTAAGGAAAAGATTCCTCCGAGACCACAAATTAATTGCGATCTCGGCCTTCCCTCGCACCTCCGACCAATTCATTTCCAACTGGAGATCAGGACCGAAAAGACGCCGAGAATCTTGACCGGCCCATCCGTCCAGTGGAAAGGTCCGGGAAGAGAAACTCCCTTCCACGCACCCAACCGCAAAGCCAACAGACTTATCGCGGTTGATCTTGGCCCCGTCACCATCTCATAACAACTGATTTTCTTTGCTGACTTCGTTAATCTCGGCTCTGCTCGACACAAGAGCCGAAACGTCGTCAGCATAGGCAGAATACCTGGCCGATGTGGTAGCACCGGGCAGGGCAATTCCGCGTAGGACCGGATTCGCCTTTAACTTGCGAAGGAAAGGTTCCAACGCAAGAACGTAAAGCAAAGGCGATAGCGGACAACCCTGACGAATGGAGCGAGACAATACGAAAGGCTCCGATCGTACCCATTCACCTCCACCAGCGCACCGGGAGTCGCATACAGAAGTCGGATCCAGGTGCGAAAAGTACGGCCCGAAACCGGCCGCAGAAAGAACAGCCTCCAGAAAACGATGGTCAACCCTATCGAAGGCCTTGGACTGATCTAAATTGATCAGCGTGGCTTCACTGTCGACTTGCTCGATGATCAGGCACACCATATGAAGGTTGTCCTGAATAGTCCTGCCCTTCACAGCACAAGTCTGTTCCGAGCCAATCAGACTAGACAGGACAGCCTGCAAACGGTTAGCCAGGATCTTAGCCAAAATCTTTAACTCTGTGTTTAACATAGTTAAAGGGCGAAAGTTACCTAACCCATCCCCACCGTTTTTATTCTTGCGTAACAACAGATCACGCCCCTGGTGAAGCGTTGGGGTATAGACCCCTGCTTCATCCAGTTGCCGAAAAATCAGTGCCAGCAGCGGAACAAAAACGGGCGACTGCCTCAAGTACACTTCGTACGGAAGACCATCAAGTCCCGGAGATTTGTCCAGGCCAACCTGTTTCAACGCATCCCAGATTTCCGACTCTGTAATGGACCCTCGCACCTAGCTGCTTCAGCTGCACTAAGGCAGGAAAAGTCAGCTAAATAGGTGTCGAACTGAGCAGAGCTCAGACCGGGCTCCCTGGTGAAAAGCTCCTGAAAGTAGTCACGAAAAGCCTCACATATGCCCTCGTTTGTTGTCACGATCCGCTTATCCGACAATGTGACGCTCGCGATATGTCGCTGAGATGCATTCCGAGCCTCCTCTGCACGCAATTCAGCGGCCATATTCGTCGCCTCAGAGGACATTCTTTTTAACCTAGCCCTAACTACCAGAGCTTGATCCTTCTTGATAAGCAAGGAGGCCAACTCTGCCTTAGCTAAGGCTATTTCCCCACTATCACGGGATTTCACCGCCCGATCCACTTTCTGCTCTAAAGCCGTTTGCGCCGCTAATCTATCTAGATTGAGCCGACGACTATAATCAGCAGCAAACGTTCTAATTTTGGATTTTAATTTATCCCACCAGGCATTTCCCACAACCGCTCCCGTCAGTTCCCTTTGTATCATTAGTAAAAGCTGGTCCCGGAAATCTTGCTCACCAAATAATGATGAGTTTAATT